ACAGGTCACTCAAAATTTACAGACAAAATGACTACATTACAGAACATTGCCAGAATCTATATTAATATTTAAAAATGAAACTGTGGTTCATTTTAAAACTGAAGGAATATGTTACTGTTTTATTAATTTGCAGTGTGAGCCCAATTATTAAAAAGATAGCACTGATTATTGACAAAAGCAGAAAAACCTGAGAAAAAGAAAGCAATAAAAAAAAAAAGTTGAGTTGTTTAAAAATTCACTTCTGACTTACCGCGACAACAAGAATCATAGATGAAAAGTAGTATTTTTACTGATTTTCTTTTGAAATAGGGCAGAGAACTCAAAAAGGAAAAATATAGCTTTACTAATTAGATGACTGTGCAGCACACACTGCTCTTTCTAAAAAGTGTTAGTGTCTCTTACAAATACAGCTTCTAACATTCAACCTTTAATTTTAGGATATTATAAAAGCTTTCAAATGTCATTACAGAAAAGATATTGTTTAGTAAATGAGGAAACTGAATTTTGTGAAAAGCAAGCACTACAAAGGAGATAAGTCAATATCTCTGTAAGAGTATGTATATTATGATTAATGCAAGGGGTTAATCTCTTAAAATGAGCTAAAAGTTATTTTCAAAAATGGGGCTTTTGATTAGAAAGCTTCAAAGGAACTGCAAACTTAGAGCTAATGTTTCTGACATCAGTGAGGGAAGTTCTGACGATTTATTTTTGTAATCTGTCTTAATTCATAGCAATATTGAAACAACATGTGTAAAATTTGATTATGAAAGTATTAAAAGAACTGCAAAAACTGATAGTGAAAATATGATACAGTAAAGAGTGATGACATGCCATCATCAAACAAATGTAGAAAAGCATTGCAAATTTTAAGAAAGTTTCATTGAAACCATAATTTTAAAAATATTTTTATAAAAATTTAATAAATGAATTTCAAAACTGCACAAATAATTTAATTTTAGTGTTCATATTTAATTATTATTTTAGGATCAATTAACATAATAATTGTTAGTTGCTATTATTGCTTAAAAGTTTAAAAGTTAGTACAAAGTCCGAAACCCGGACTTTGTACTAACTTTTAACTTCCGCAATTCTGGATTTGAGATTTTTCCGGATATTAGATAATCAGTTTAAATCTAGTAAAATGGCATGTAAAAATTATAAAATTAAAAATTTGAAATCGTGATTTATAAAATAATGAAGTATTTATGATCTAAAGGGTATCAAAATCTGCAAAAAAAAAAAAAAAAAAAAAAAAACCTTAATATTTATTTGTTTACTTTATTAAACATTTCTTTCAATGTAAGTTGTTTAAGTTGCTTCGTTTTTTTGGGTGCTAATACTTTCTCTTTAATTCTGTAGACAGATATAATCTCTTGTTTAGTTACATTACTGAAGTCCTGTAACTGTTGTTTCAAGAATTCCAACTAACTTGTCAATCGAAATTTTCTCGTTTTCAGTAACTTCTCTATCACTTTCTTCATTATCGGTAGTGCTATTTTCTAGATTTAGAACCATACTACCGATTTCGCCATTCATTAATTGATTGATGATTGAGAAGCATTGTCATCACAATGAAAAACTTCTTTCATATCATCTTCATTTATTAACGCTTCTCCACATTTCTTTACAAAATCCATTAATTGGAAAATTTCACCTTTGTTTTGCGATATCCGAAAACCATTAAAATTAGTGGCTATCATCATCAAATTTAGCTATCCTTCACTATACATATTTGGCTAAGCATCATGAGCTTGGTGACTAATGACAAGTTCTAATTCGGAAGTCAAACGACAAAAATCAGTGTTATATTTTCAAAATTTCTGTGAAAATATGTTTTTGTTGTTTGAGCTTGTTCCTGATTTTTGTTGTTTGGCTTCTGAATTAGTATTTGTTCGGCGTGTTATTGTGTTTTAATTAACGACAAGTTGTTCCTTTTAAATTCTATCGTGCACTGAGACAATTAAGCCTGAATTGTATTAGTTATTTATTATACTTATGTTTATTTCTTGCACATGCTTAAGGCTTGTCAAATTATTATTAAATTCCCATATATACTTAAGCCTTATTGAGGGCCAGCGCTAGATATCTTACCGCTTGATGCAGTCTCTGTGGGTCCTAAATTCTGCGACTCTCTGTGGCCATACGAGCCCTGACGCTGGTTCTGGGTTTATTTGAATAACAAATCAGTTATTCTTAATTCAAATAGCCCTAAATGTAATCTTTAGGTCTATGAGTATCATCAACAAAATATATTTTTAGCATATGGAAAAAAATTTTCGGTAAATTTTCCATCGTCAACATTTTTAATGCATTTAACTTAAATCTGTAATAATCGCCAAGCATAATGTCAACATAAAAGGTTACCATACTTCTTTATTATTCAATTACTAACATTAAAAAAATTGCTTAGGCATCGCTATATGAGTCATTACTCAAGTTGTCATATTTTGATAAACATGCAATGATGAAAGGAAAGTATAATAAATAATGATTCGCTAGGTTAGAGTCAGATCAATGATGTATCTGTGGAATGTTTCATTTTGAGATGCGTGCCAAGGAGATACGCAGCAACGGAACCAAATTACTGATCCTACAAATTTATGCTAAAATGATTCTTTCTTCAAAAACAAGGTATTTTATTTAGTGTCGAAGTGAAATTAAGAATCGGGACTCTCCAGATGTTTTATTATGTGCGGAAGGGGGAATCAAATGCGCATGCGTAAAGCCTACGAGAAAAGTGCTGTTGGTGGTTTTAAGGACTGGATTTTAGATCATTCTGGATAATGGATGTCTGGATTTCAGACTTTGTACTGTATAACTTTTTTCGATATGTAAATCATCATTTTTCAAACTCAGCTGCTTAATAAACTCAAATATGTGTGGAAAAGAAGTGATTTTAATAAGCAGTGGGCAATGTATAAGTGCAAACCCACCACTATTGTTGGACTTTGGAAAGTAGTATTAGAGGAAAGAAAATCAGTACCTCTGGAAATTTAATGAAAAGCCCTTGTATCAGGGGAATTACAGTGTAGACTTACAGTCCAGAAAGAAGGCTATTGGACCGAACATATAAAAAAGTACTCTCTGCATTTTAAATATTAATTAAACAGTCCCAGAATCATTCTAAAAATATGTAAAGACCCTTTGTACATCAAATGATAGATAGAAAATAGATTAATATTTGCTGTTTTTTTTTTATTTGATTACAAAGTAGAAAGGAAAGATCTTGTCTCTGATATCTTTTTTACTGTAACGACTTCCCTAAATGATTTTCTTAAAGAAATGTTAAAAATAGTGGGGTTCCACCTATGTGTTATATAATAAGTTAGTAGGGAAAATCCATACCAAGTATTTTAGACAAAAATTTTAAAATCCAGTAATCTCATGTTTCAGTGTTCAGCACCTCTTATTTACCGTCATTGTTGGAACCTCTAGAGTAGTAACCTTCACTCCCAGTATCCCACAGCATATCATGCTCAGAACCATCTAAAGCTTTGGATATTCCACAGTTAATACTTTTCTACCATTGTACATTGGATTCATCCACGACAAAAGCACATGCTGGAGCTCAGTTCTAATTTCATCAGAGAGTCATATACTTCCAGTTTAAAATATGCTTTTATAGCTAAATTGTTTGCCTGATTTTTTTTTTTTTTTTTTTTTTTTAATGACTAGCTTAAACAGTTAAATTTAAACAGTATGATGTAACATTCACCTAGCAGCAATGAATTTTATATTCGATCAGTTAAATAAGCACTGTTGTGTTTCCACATATTCGTATGTACCTGTTTCTAATTATCTGTATGTATAAACTGCATCACTAATTTTCATCTGCATTTTTGTGAAAAAATAGGGTGGATTATACACATGAGAATATAGTGTATTTTAGATGTAACTGCAGAATGTTTACTGCTGGATATGTTGAAACTCATAGCTTTTTTCAAACTAGCAATGGGAGAAACAAGTGTCAGGGCCTCTCCATCTATTACTTCCTCCGTGATTTGTTTATTAACTTTAATATAAGCATCCCCTTTTTATATAGCCTATAAATTTTGCTGAAAAAATTGTGTCATATTAATGTCTGTTATTGTCAAGACTTCCAAAAGCTAAATCAGCAAATTGAGAAAGATTAGATAAAATCTCATATTTTATGTTTTGTGCTTGAATATTATTATATTTTCTATTAGCCTGTAACCCCAATCAGTTTAGCAATTAACAGTGTTGGCTGCTGTCCCTGGTTCAAATTTCAGTGGAGGCATAAATGTTTGTTGTATAATGTCTGTGTGGCATGAGGCCACTTAAAATACTGACAAGCTGAAAGTCCACTCAAGTAGTTTAATGGTAAGAGGAGTTTTTGACCCTCGGATCCTTCCCATGGGATGTGCATTTAGTGTATTGCCACACATTACGAATGCTACATCATCTGCAAAAACAGAAATTTTAGAATGCACTAACCATTGATGATTCGCTTTACTATTAAATGGGAAGATCCAAAAATATTACACCAGAATTCTCAAGTACTACATAAACCAAGCAAGAAAATTCTGAAAAACATTGAAAATATTGAAGACAGTAGAATCAAAACAATTAAAATAATAAAATATCTTAGTATTATTATTGACTCAAAATTTTCTTGGATTCTTCATCTCGAGAACATTAAACTACACACTGCAGCTTGTGATTTTACTACTTGATAGCTTGTGATTTACAATTTCATGTGCTTGTGAACACAATGTGACATTTTTTTCAGACACTTTGTATTTCACCTACCTTCAAATAGAAATGTTCTCCTTTCCCCACTGTTAGGAACTACAGTTTGAATTTCGATGAAAAAGAACTAGTAAAAAATTCAGGGCTTCACATATAACATCTCAGTATATATGTGTGTGTAAGTTATATACATATATATATATATATATATATATATATATATATATATATATATATAACTTTAATGTGCTTCTGTTGTGTAATTAAAAGATACTTATTTCCTCTTTTAGGTCTGCTGGCTGTATTTTTGCTGAACTGTTACTGAAAGAAAAAGTTTTTGATGGAACTAAAGATACTGAAGTGCTCAGTCGAATTTTTTATACATTAGGGATGCCCAATGATGAAATTTGGCCTGTAGGATTTGATATATTTTTTTATTCCTATTCTTGCTTGTGTTTGTATAGTGCACTTCATCTTTAAAGATTATAAGCAATAAACATTTGCTGGTTAATTATTAACTTCGGTTTAATCGCTAGCTAATTTTTCTGTTTGTTTTGTTCATTAATTCTTTATCTTTTCCAATTTCTTTTAAAAGGTTGAACCTCTATATTGAGCATTTTAAAAGAAATCATATGCAAAAATTGATTCAACCAACTCAAGAATCTTTTCAGTTAGATGGACTGATTTTTTTATATAATTATTTGAAACTTTTGCAATTTGTGTTTCTATTTCTTTGAGTAAACATATATAGTTTTTGCAATCAATTCACAAATCAGAGTTTTCTTTTATGTCTCAATCAAAACTTTTATCAAGAAGAACTCCAATAATATTAACAAAAATTCCTTTTCCTTCAAAAAATTTTTATCAGTACTTTGCATTCCATTTATGCATTTATTCATTTTTGACAAGCCATTTGTGTTTATATGAAAATCGTTTTTTATTTTATGCTATTGTTAAAAGTTCTTTAATGCTACTTACTAAAAAACTGACTGCTGGCACATTTTATGTTCTAGTTTTTCATAATGTATTATTAACCTAAAGGGGAAATTATATGACTTTTTCAAAAATTATTCATGTATGAAACGTGTGATATTTAAAAATTATACTGTTGGCCAATAAATTGCTTCATCATGAAGAAATCACAGAACAAACCTGAACTTTTCTTGAAAACTAGCACGTGCTGCTGTGCAGAAATTATTAGCATTTATCATTTATCACAAATATTCCTGTCATGTGCTCATTGCAGGTTTGAAATAATGAAACAAAACAGAAAAGCAAACCTGAAATGCTGATTTTTCATTAGGAAATCATGTTTTACTGTTTGTTTTTTTGTATAAGTGTGTGTTATGTTTCATGTAAAAAGAAAGAATTCATACCACCATGTCTCGTAATGAGAAAAATCATAGCCTCCAGGATCAGGAATTATTTACTACATAGCAGCTGTTTCTGTTGACCGAGATTCAGTAACTTACGAGAATTTTGCAGTCTGTTGATCCAAGAGGGCCACATAGAGCAACTTGAAATATCAAATGGCCCTGCTCTGTAGTGCCAAAGATGACAGATATCTTGTTCACATCATTATTAATAATTGTAAAACCATTCCATGTGCCCTAGTCAGGAACCTGGGTTACCCAACACCCTGGTTATTTTGTTCAGTTCCAAGATATTGCATGTAATAAAAGTATCTCGTTTAAATTAAATATTTAATTACTTTTTTGAAAAAAATTCTGAAAGCTTGTTCTGTCCAAATTATTTTTTGACGCACTCTATGTTACTTTCATATTTATGAAATTAGTCATTTTATTCACAAATTTCTTATTTTAGGGCTGGAGCAAACTTCCAGGTTTGGATTTGTATAAAATTGAGAATTGTAATGAGTGAGTGTTCTGTAATTCATTTTATTTCTTTTTCTAGTGATCTCTTAATTCATTAGAAATTTTTTTCTAATGAATCTCTTAATTGATGACAACTTATGTAAAATTTCGTATTAGAAAATAAGTGTAAGCCGTTTGAGTCACTTCTTTAAGTAATTGTATTGAAGTATATTTAGACAGATATATAGATAAGCAATGTTGAAAATAAATAAATAAATAAGAAGTTTAAATCGAATTCTGTCTCATGAAGTGCAAGTAAAAATTTCTCTTTTATTTTCCGTGAGGAAGAGAATTTGATTTAAACTATTTTACATTATTTTGTCGTAATAATAAGCATACTTTTATTGAATTTTTTTTTCCCTTTGTTTCTAAATTATTTAGTTAAGTAATATAGACTTGGATGTGTATTTGCTGATTCAGTTCACACAGTTTATGGTGGTCCAAAATATTTTTGAGAATAAAGGAATTAAATGTTTTATGTGTATTATTATATGCATTTTAATCCAGAATGCGCTCATGAATCTATAGCAGTAAAATGCAGCCTTCTATACCAGGTTGGGATTGCCATCTCTCTTCAAATGGCAGTATGACAATTTTGGCAATGAAAGTTCAATATGTATAAGAGATACATAGTCCATTGCTCATGTGGTATTTTTATTTAAAAAAAAAAAAAAAAAAAAAGGCAGAATTTTAACATTTGTTAGGAAAAGGCATGGCAATCAGAATAGGTTCCTGAAAAAGAAAGGCCAATGTCAGATTGAAACTGGGAGAGTTTTAGCAACTCATATATAACTTTGAAAGAAGGGGGAACAATGTTAAATGTCATCTAAACTGTCACAGTAATATAGCATTTTGGCATTATCAAGTATTTGAGAATGATCATAACAAAATATTCTTAATTTTCCTGATGTTAAATCAAAAAATTTGTTCAAAATTTTGACGTTTGCAAATTTTTTATAAAATTTAGTACATATTTCCTCCTTTATGGAAAAAAAAGGAGCAAACTTAATTTTATTAAGAGATGAGAAATCATTAAATTAGTCATTTATATGAAACCCAAAATAACACATTTTGTAAGTTTCAAGAAATGTAAGCCTGATATTAAATTGCTGATTCAAATAGTGAACAAAATACAATGAAATCTTGTTAAGAATACTCACAATTCCAGAGTCAGTTTAATCCTTTTGAGGGTCAATCACAGAAGATGAATGACCTTATGGATATTTTCAGCAAGATGAGCAGCAATGCCTACCATATATCCAAGCTTGTCATGAGTTCAGAGTTCATGAGATGTTCAGTGAGAAGAGGTAGTAAAGTCTCCTGGTCACCACATTTGCTTAAACCTTTCTCCGTGTGATTTTCATTTGTAGAAATAATTTAATATATATTATGTATATTATGTATTCAGGTGTACTCAGTCCCCGCACACCGAAGAGCTACAGCAGACCATGAAAATTCTCTTGCTGCCATTCCCCAGTAGAGCTGCTTACATATCTCGCTGGTTGACTAATCAAGCACAACGTTACATCGACATTACCAATGGCCATTTCCACAATTTTGTGTAAAGGGCAGTTCCCCTTCTTTCATTAACAAGGATATAAATTTAGTGTCAAAATTATACACATTTTATGAGGCAGTTTTGTTTTAGTAATCTTGTATTTGTTATAATATTTAACCTTTTAATGGTCATCAATGAGCTCAGCTTGTGTTCCAGTTATGCAATATAGTGAGTGCAAACAAACACAACTGTCATTACAAATTTACAACTGACAGGTATCACACACATATTTGGCAAAAAAGAACTGCTTAAACTTGCAACTGCCGAAGAGCTAAATTGGTTTTCATTTTAAATTATAACTAGTTATAAGGACTTGTGATAGTTGCATGTAAATATACTGCATTTAAGAGATCTTTCAATATTATTAGCGCTTTCACATAACAACTGTAGTACAAAAAAAGGCATTATTACTTAATTTATTAAAAAGATTAATTTGTATGAAATATTGGCACTTTTCCATTTTGCCACCACAGGCGATAAAGTTGCCAATAATGGTACAACTGATGCCAAATGGAATATCCTCGCTTGGAACTTTTCAATGCCTCATTTTCAAAACAAATTGCAGCCATTTCTTATCAGACTGATTGTTTCTTTCAATACTGGCATACAGTTACATAGAATTTTTACCAGATAGTTCAATTTTATGCCCTAAGGCCTTTCGTGGTAATTAAGTCAATTAGGATGCAATCACACTGCTCACCCAAAGGCTAAAATATAGAAAAGTCAAAGTAAAGGATTAAATTCATCAATTCTAATAAGAGTGCACTAGTGAAGTTGTAGTGATGCGTGGCCCGAACTTGTCAGCAACTATGGTAGTGACTGCTATGAAATGTAAATTACGCAAACTCGTAAGAAGGGTTTTAAAGCCCTTTTTATTAAACTTTAGAAATAACAGCTGCGTTCACTTGACGCTCACAAATTATGCCGAACCGGCGGTTTAACAAAACAGAAATGTGAAACTAAAAATAAATGACAGGATGAATAAACAACTAGATCACTACCTACGAGGCTCTAAAATCGTAACTAACTTAACTGCGTTCTAAAATACAGCTGAGATTCAGCAAGCTTTCTGATTAAGCAGTTGAAAGATTCAACGAACTGCCGAGATAGGCACACAGGCCGAAACGTGCGATTCTTAAATTTCTACCTAGCAACCTTCATGCTCGCGATTTAAGAAGCACACATACAAACTCGTTTCCCTTCTATTTAAACTCAACTTACTTCTGCTAAAATTTGAATAGACTGCGTGTTCTACTTCAATTTACATACTCTGGCATTGGCAATTCTAGGGGAAAGTAAAGGCTTGACAGGAAAGATAGCTTAAACTTAAAATAAATATAAACCCTACATTTGCCGCTGCCAGAATTTGGTAAACTTGGAAGCAGGTCCTAGAAACGACCTGTTGAAAAAGTTTCCATATTCTGACCTAAAACTCAAGAGCTCTGTTTACATAAAACAAACTTTTGTCTAAAACAATTAATTACAATGGTTTCTGTAGATGATTAAAATACCATATTTTCTTACAGGATCCTTTCTGGTAATTGGTCTTCATCAATCAATCTTTTTCTCTTCCTTCCAGCATCTGGAAGGAATAAGTATCAGTATATTCTAAATACATTATGATTTACACTTTCTTAACACTGGATAACGTTTTCGTTTTCGATCCTTTTCTTTTCCTTAATTAACTGCTTACATTCACATTCATTCAAATATTCAAACATGAATTTAACTTTACCCTGGTTCTCCACCATGTGTGGTGTCAAACGGGAATCTTCGTGTTTTTGTATTACAACACTTCCCCTAACCACAATGATTTGTTAGAATTCAAACGACCAAATATAACACACCTTAATCCAACATACTGAAACTCGATGAGCTATGTTTAACATTCTTAAAATTCAAGTGTAGGTGGAGAACCCTAAAAAACACATTCATTCTAAATTCCCCCTCATTCATCTTTAGACATGCAGGCTTTCGCTCTAAAGCATGATTTTATCTACTGTTTAATACTTAGATTTGAACTCGTTTCTTTTGAGCATTTACTTTTAGCATCTAAAATTTTATGCTTCTAGACTAAATTCTACTTTTACATAACTTTCAAGTATTTACCTATATTTACAAAATTCTAATACATATGATTTTTACAATTTACCATAAAATGAATAAGAGAAAATAAAAATTTACTTCACGCTTTCTTCGCCAAGCTGGCGGCACTGAAACTAAATTTTACATTAATACAAGAATACGAAGTTATTTTACTTTCGGCCAAATTTTGGCTTTAACATAACAGAACCAGTCTTTCGACCAACTCGAACTGCTTGCTCTTAGATTTTACACTTAAAGAAAATAATATTTTGCCTTAGCTAAAACAGTAAAACAAAACTAAGTCTCAACCGAGACAAATTGACTTCCGTCAACACATAGAACTTCGTATTTACGCATAACATTTCAGAACAAAAGAAAAATTTATAGAAGATTTTAACTTATCTTTGAGTTTTCGATGCTTGGAACTCCTGACATCCTCTTCTGGCAAAATTGATCCCAAGTTACAGAAGTTCATGGAAGTCAATCTCCGCTTTTGGTTTCTTTCGAGTTTCCTCCATGGTGACTTTTCCTTTTTCGCCCTCTGTACGCCGGCCTCTTGGGGTGGTAGTCTTCGGGTTCCTGTCTTTTCCGTTTGTTTGCCCCTGGACGGCTGGTCTTGGCGGCCTCCGGTCTGGATTCTTGCTTGAATTTTTTCTGCTGGTGCCAATCTTTTTTTCTTTTCTCTTGCTGTCTTTTTCTTCTCGTGAACGGCGGCCTTGTTTGCTCCTGACTATCTGGCCCTGGAAGTGGTTTCCTCGACGCAGATTTTCTACTGTGGGAAGTTGTAACTGGTCTTTTCCTGTTTACCAAAGATTCTTTACGAGGCGGCGTTGATTTCCTGCACTTCTTGAATGCTGGAGTGTGACCATTTTCCTTCCTTCTTTTCGGGACCCTAGAATGACTTGTAGAAGGGCTAGGTTCCTCTTCTGTTCTCTGCTTCTTGGGTGGTGGAGCGGGTGGCGTTAATTCTGGAATTTCCACTTCTTTTTGCGCTTGAGTCCTGCAAGAAACTTTTAAGGATTTCAAAATCATTTTGATTATAATATTTTTTCACCTGGTCGGGACTTGCTTTACAGATTTCCCTCTCTCGTTCTTAAGGTACAATACGACTCCTTGATTTCCTGTATTACATAGGGGCCTTCAAACTTTGGAGCCAATTTTGCAGTGAAATTGTCTGGGGCACTTGATAAAGAAAATTTCCGCTTTAAACACTTTATCCCCTACTTTAAAATCTGCTTCACGGCGTTTTCGATCATAGTAAAGTTTCTGTCTATTTCTTGCCGTATTTGAACTTTTAACCGCCTGATCAATAAGTTTTGCTGATCAATAAGTTTCTGTATATCTTTTTGTTTGAATTCTT